AGCAAACCCCCCCATATGGTGAAGGTACTGGAATATATGGGAACCCAGCTCCTCACAAGCAAATGTGTTGCTGGAAAATATGGTTTGGTTGTTAGAAACCCTAGCAAAGGGAGTTTCTCATTCAACCTCTGATTTATTTTGTTAAAATGGTCATAAATACCATGTTAGGCACTCTGTAGAGCAGTGGGTTCATGATTTAAAATGAATAAATAAAATCTCTTTGGTTAATCAGTTTCTTTTCTTGGCTTCTGGCCCCTGAGCTTTGTTCTGCTGTTTTTTGAGAGCCTTCACTCAGCTTCTGAATTCTAACTAGAAGCCGAGCATGTCCATATGGACTTTATTCCTTTCCTAAATTATACATTTAGCATCTTGGATCCTTCATATGCTCATTTCTGTCTCCTTATGCTTTTTTTTTTTTATTGGGTAAGACTTGAATATCTAAATATTCTCAATAATTTAGCTATTACACTGTTTATTTATTCTTGCATCTTCTAGTTTGTGTTTGATAGACGCAAACAGCCCAGAGCTTGAGTGTTGCTTCCTCTGTAGCCTCTTGTCTTGTCAGCAGGAAAAGGAGGGCTGAAGGCACACTCTGCTTTTGATTCTCCCCCTTCTCAAAGCACCCTTGAAGGCTGCCAGAGAAAAGATGCTGTGGGCTGTGAGAATGGGGAAAAGGAGGGTGTTGAGAAATGGGGCTGTCCCCTCCAGTGGAAAGTGGGGAGGAAAGAGGGACAAAGCACCACTCCACTCTTCAGCTTCCAGCATGATAAGAAGTTCATGGGACGAGCCCTTGTGTCTGCTCCGCAGCCCATGTGTAGTTGGGACCGTGGAGAGAAGTGAGATGACTGGATTTTTTTGCCCCTGCCTCGTACAGAGAGTTCTCTGAAGCTTCACCTGGAGAAGCATTAGGGCAGGCATACAAGTTGATACAAACTGTAGTTTTCACTTTCTGTAGTGTGGCTCAAGTATGTTGTCTTTATGGCAGGTTTTAGTATCTCCTCTTTTCATAACTCTGAAGAAAGGCAGTGATCTGTTGCTGTTGAGTTCATGTGGAGGTGGGCTGGGGAGGATTTAGTGTGCTGAATGGTCAGTGTAGATTTGCTGTGCTGAAAGAGTTCATTGATTCTGTAGTCTTGTGGTGGAGAAGACAAAAAGAAATTCTGTGAACCAAGTACTTTGGCCTTTCATCTCTGAGGGCTGGATCTTGCCCCATATTTAACTGCAAAGGAGATAAATTCTAATTCCTATAGTTATCATTCTCACTTGAAAGTCTGTGGTATTTTGATTAATCGTTTCAGGTGGTGATTACCACATACCTTAAGTGTTTACCAAAACTTTCTATGCAGTCACAAACTACGGGACTTTGTCAGTGTTTGGAGAATCACAGTTAATTTTTAGAGTGGCAGCTGTAGCCTTCATTCACATCTTCAATAAGTGCCTTTAAGAGAATTACTCTTCTAAAATGGCAGTGGAGAACACTTGTATCAAATCTTCTAGTGATGTGAGAAGTGGAGAAAAGTTCCTGGGTTTTTTCTGCCTTTTTTCAGTATTTTTTCACCCTGAAAGACATGACACTGCTGTGTATGACAAGTATTTTCTTACAGTCTGTTTTATACAAACGGTAGATTGAAGTTTGTAGAAGATGGACACTTATTTCAAAATTTTGATGATGCCCTTCATACCTGGGAGCTGTGACCACAGGATTTCATTACCAATTAGAAGATCAAGTTCAGCTGCTTCTATTAAGGACATTGCCACTGTCTGGTGTATGTGTGTTTGTACACTCATCCCTGTGTCCATTTGCACACATAGAATTAATTACTCTCGTTTGCTATGGAAACTGTTCTTCTCTATCGTATATAAATAAGGACTAAGCATTTCTGGAAACTTAAAAAAGATGAAAGGAAGTGTAAAGAGTCCTATAATTAAACTGTTCCTGAAATTTTGGCACAATTCTTAAGCTCAAATTGAAACTGGGTGCTGAGATGCTGCTTGGTTCTTACAGGCTTTCTGTTAATTCTTTCATTGCCTAAGTGAGCATATTCTTAGTCACTAGCATGTTCTCATATGTTGATCCTTTCCAAGAAACATGAAGCCTTGCTGTTTTCATAGTACAATGCCTTTTGTCTGCCTCTTCCTTTTCACTGGGGAGATATGTATTCCTGCTGTATTACAGAAATGAAGTAAGCATCACCTATTTATGTAAGATAAGGGCAAGTGATATATTGTAAGTAAAGTTTTAAAATAAGTAGAGCATGCTTTTGTATGTGGAAATATTAGGCTAGAATCTGGAATACTGTTTAGTTTTACTTTCTGAAAGTGTAACTTAGTGTCTTGGTTCTAGCCAACAAACACAGAACAGCCTGCAGGTGATGTAGCAAGTATTGTAACTTCCTGTATGGCCAAAAGGATTGGGCATTAAGAGATGATTAAAAGAAAAAATATACACTGTAGAACATGACTCATTATGGTCAGAATTTACTGGTGAGGTAATGAAGAAGAAAAGAAAAAATGAGAAGTGTGGGTCAGGTATACTGTGTAATTCAGGCCCTTTGATACTATAATAATTATAGCAGTTTGACATTATGCTTTGCAAGTAACTGAACCTGGTGGCTGTCCCTGTTGGACACTTCTTTCACAGGTAGCAAAACTGAAGAGCTGATGTACTAACCAAGTTCATTTTCATGCTTTTAGTGGGTAGCAGCTGAATAGGGAGAATGGACTGAATAGACTTGGTTCGCACTTGGTTCCTGCCTCCATCATCCTGACTCCAATACAGAATCAAGATATTCTGATAACATGATGTTTGCCTCTTACGTTTGCTGATGTACATGGTCAGTGGTTTGCTTAATTGAGACAAGAGGCAAATTTTCAGATAAAAAAATCAGATGACAAGTATTATGGATACCTGTTATAATTACGAAGCAGATACTCTGGTGCCTAAAGGTTTATTCCAACTGTATCACTTGGTCTAATTAAAATATGTAACTTCCACCTACCAGCCTTGTTTCTCTGAACCTTAAATCATTTCGATTGTAACACAAAACCTCTGTCTGAGGTTTACATTTGTAAATTCAGTGTTGCTGCTGGAATATGCTGCATCTCCACAGGAGGGCTCTGCTGGCATAGCTATACTAGCGCACACTGTGGGATGCTCGTGGGATTTTCGCCTACTCGGTTTCTTTTCCGTTTCCCCAGTAGGAAAGCTGGATGCTGCCCTGTGGGCAGGGCAGCAGAGTATGAGGACGGTGGCTGTTGAGTTCCAAACTGGAAAGATTAAGTGTTCATTTTGTGCTAGGCTTGCATCTCCTTCCCCTACCAAGAAGAGAGTCAAGTGCTGCTGTTAAGAACAAGTACATTGGAAAAAAAGGCTTTAATTTTTATGAACATACCTTGAAATTGGTACTTTTTAATAAATGTTACAAGATTGCTGGTTGCCTGTCTTTAATGAGTTGACCTGGGGAAAAAATATATTCCGGTGGTACCTCTGATGTCTGAGAGTGTTCATGGATCTATAATAAAGTTGAAATTCTGTGACTATTTAGAAATACAGCAGAGAAGAGATAGAAATGTAAGGGAAGAACTTAAAAAGAAGATAGCATAATAGCTTGTAACAAGAAAAATAGGGGGAGTGGGTTTTTTTTTTTTCCTTTTGTGGGGGCACAAAGTTGTTTAAGGGGTTTTTAATTTTGTTTTTAATATTAAATCCAGCTGTCAAGGTCCAAGTGGCAAGAACTGAAGTATTCTCCAGAGCATGCTGTAGAATTAAAATGCCTGGAAACCATTAGTACCAATATATGCTCTTTGTACTGCTGAGACCTTATCCTACCCAACAGCAGTGATTGTGTCACTGATGGAGAGAAAAGCAGGAGGTATTTGGTGTCTTATGAAACTTAGGAGGGCAGACAGGGTTCTTAAGATGCTGAAGTTTCACTTCTCCCAAGGAAAACTGAAGTGATGGTGACATCAAGACACAATTTCAACTACTGTGACAAGCAGGAAATCCTGCCTAGTCTCTCAAAACCATGGGATATAGATCCATAGCCCTCTCTCAAAACTTCTGAGGGTTTATATTTACATACTTCTGGTATAAGGCAGCAGAAAGAAGGGCAGATGAGAGTAACATAGATAAAGTGGTTATGCAGACCATGCTGCTATCAGGCTGGTTCCTTATTCAACTACAATAAAACTTAGTTGGGGATGTTTTGGGGTTTGTTTTTTTTTTTAAGTTATTTGGCTAGCAAAGAAACATTCCCAAGGTTGGCTTTTAACCCTCACAGGATCACAACATTTGGCATCAACTGTCTGAATCATGAATGGAGGGAAAGGGAAATTGGTTACAGGAAAGTAATTTTTTTAATTTAAATTGAACAACCTTTAGCATGTAAAAGCACACAAATGGGTTTAGGGGAAAGAAATTAACGCCTTAATGCTTTTTTTTCTTTGTTAGCTTTTTGATCTGGAGAAGTACCAAACACATCTTACAAATACTTTTTGACAAACAACAGGTTTAAATGCCTTTGTCTTGGCTCTTCTGCATTATATCTATGATATGAACCGTAGCAAATAAAGCTGGGGATTCATCTGAGTCATTGGTACTAACAGTTTTTAGGAAGTGTGTTTTCTTTGGACTATGAATAGTTCTTCCTTACCATTTTCAAAGTTGTTATCACACCATGAGCATGTTGTGTATCAGGCTAAGTTTTGTGAGACCTTTAACTGCATACCTCTTATAAGTGAATCTGTCTTCTGAATCAATGTTATGTCTCAAGTTTGGGTTGAAGTGCATAGTCATTAAGTGAAGTTATATTGATTGTACCAAGCTTACTGAAAAAATGTGTTCAGTAAAATCCTTAGTACGTGTAGATTTGGAGACTTTAACACATCTTAAGTAAAAATAGCATAGTATTTGCTGCACGCGTTTTCTGCTAATTTATAACAAAGAGTGACTCTGGTAAGAATTGTTCTGGACTCTTCTGTAAAAACACACTTTGCAGAGGGTAAGATACTTACTGTTTCTTGGTAGCTAGCAACCTGTATTTGGTGCTCAAAAAGTCTTGTGGTCATCTGACAGTTACCTATTTTGTGGTAAGTGAAACTTATGCTTTCCATCTTAACTTATTTTTATAATTTTGGACTACTCTTAAAACAGTTAACAAAACTTGACAGAAATATTTTCTCTTTGATATAGACAACGTTGCTAAGTCGTCTGGAACGAATATTTGAAGTCTGTTTTCCTTCCATGCCTGTTCTTGAAATTAAAGAAGAAATAAGTTCCTTGAATCATTTGTTGGAAGCAGGTGAAAAGCAGGTGACAGTTGAGGAGACCTTAGCAAATACTGGGTAAGAAGCCACAATGAAGTAAATTTAAAAGGAAGTAGAAATGTGTTATCTTGGGAACTTAAAACATACAGTGGTAATTCAGAACGAGTTGTTTACTTCAACTGTTTTGAAAAACTGTTGAGTAAAAATTATTTATCTAGCAGAATGCTTGTTTTCAGCAACTGTATATGCCAGGAGTATTTCACTTAGCATATCGATTTAATCAACAGCATATCATCTTCTTTTAAGTGATGGCTCTGAGTTAATCAGCACTTGCATTTTAGTTACACTTGATATGAATTTCTATATTTATTCATGTGATGATGAAGTCTAAGTAGGCCTTGTCCTGTCTGCTGTGGACATAATTTTCCAATAAGTCTGAACTATAATTGTTCTGAGAACACTATGCAGTTTTGATTCCCTGGGGTATGGTGCTTGGGTGTAAGTTTAATTGGAATGTATAATAAGTCACTTGCCTTAAAAACTAGAATAAATATTCAAAGCTGCTAAGCAGTTATTCCCATTGATAACTTGATTTATGATGGGTTGTATAGGGAGCTGATGGACGTGTGGACAGAGCTGCAGGATATCCATGATGCATATGGACTGAGATACCAGTGGGGTGGCTCCCACAGCAACAAAAAGCTTTTATGCTCCTTGGGAATCGACACAAGAAATATTGTGAGTCAGTCAATAAAACTTGCTTTCTAAATAACAGAGCTGCTTTAAATGTAAAAGCAGGTGGATGTCTTCTTGTACGTATGCTTGTCTCTTAATTGCCTATCTGCACTGAACATGGCTTTTCATGACAGACCATTTGACAACTTTTTACAGGCCCTATTACTATTAAAAATTGCATTAGTTTTTAACCATTATATTATTTAACATAGTATTTATTGTCTGATGTTAATCTTATACAAGTTGTATAATGCTGAAAAAATATTATCGTCACTGACACAAATTTCTAAGTAAATTTTTTTGTTGTTGTTTTATCAGCTCTTTACAGGCAACAAGAAACAGCCTGTTATAGTACCCATGTATGCAGCAGGACTGGTAAGCTTTTTTTAGTGTTAATTTTTTGTTATAGTTCCAACAACATTATATAATGAAATATATTCAATGACATTAAGCACCAAGTGTGCTGAAAGATATTTTTGTAAGTATGGTTATGGCATAGGCGTCGGTAAAAACCTAGAAAAGAACCATCAAATATACAATTTTCATCGTATGTGCAAGGAGATACTTTATTTTAAATGAACAAAATATTGATTTACTCACTGCTTTATGAAAACCAAGGTATTTAATAAGGTGGGCTAGCTAGTCTAAGTTGAGTTTGAGGCATTTTCTAAAAAAGAGAAAATTAATTGAAGTTATGTATTAATGTGTATGCACCAATAAATAAAAAGTTCCTGTTGAATTTTAACTATTAAATATAAGGTATAGATGTAAAAATGTCAACTCAAACTTGACACAAAAAACTAGATCGTTAAATAATTGTCAAAAATGACAGGAACATCGAAATTAATCAAAACATGAATTTGCATCAGCACTTGTGGGAAGCCCTGTCACTAAGACCAGATGCTTCTCAGGAAGGTTAAGAACTGCTAGATAGCTACAGTATTCCATGAAGTATGTGTGTAGGAAGTTTTCTCGGCACTCTCCAGCATTCCTCTTTGTGCAACTGTTTCTCTGACAGACTGTTTAATTACTTGATTGCATCTCAATATCCCCGGGTCGAGAGATGTGTGATAAGCCTTGCAGTGTTATTGGCATATTAATAAAGGACCCACATACATATTAGGCTATTTATGCATTAAAAAGCACTATATAGCCAGTATTGTTGTATTGCCCCAAGTGCTAGATAAAACATCAAGCATAGTTTTGATTTCTGTAGATTGAAGGAAACTTTCAGGCATTCAGAAGATAAGGTTTGCCGTTTTTACTAGTCTGAGCAGAATAAATCCATTTTTTTCTGGAAACCTGTGTGTGTGTATGTATGTATACAAACACACATACACTTACATGGTCATTCACACATTGAATATAAAAGGATTATAGTTTTTCTTGGTATATATTAAGCCGATTTAATCTGTAGGTTAATTTTGTAGAGTGTCTTCCACAGTCAGTTTCTAGAGCTGCTGTTTTCTGATGCTTCAAGGTCAGCTCATGCACTTCTCTGGATGTAAGCACGGTATTCTGATACAGAGAGATAAAACAGCTCATAACAATTGCTGTTTTCCTCCTGTAACATGTTTGTGAGCAAAGCTATGTTTGTGTGCAACTTGTATGGTTAATTTTTGCAACAGTTTATCTCCTAAATTTTGTATATACTTGTGCACACAATAAGCTGGATAGAGATGGTGGTAGTAGTAAAGGAGCTTACTGCTCTCTATTGCTACATTGCTTCATACGTTTCTCTGCTGTCCAAAAGAGCTGATTTAATGGCTGGTTAAATTCTAAGCTCCCCCAACATAGTGTAGAAACATTTGTGAAACAGTTGATCTTGGTGGCTGACTTTGTGAAATTATTTTAAAATATGCTAGCTGCAAATCCAGTGGGTTTATTTGGGGGATTCTTTTCTCATACCTCGTTGTTCTGAGGTGGTTTGCATGTCTCAGTGCAAACTTTGGTCTTTCTGTAGATCTCTTTCTCATTCTCAATTTTATTCAGGACCATCAGAGATTTCAGACATTTTTCATAGTACTGTTTAGCTTTGAGCAGTTCGTTTAAAATTAAAAAGGTGGGTTTATTTATTTTCTTAATGCTTTTTAGTGCATTTATTTCTGTGTCCATAATTATTATTCTTTGTATCATTCTGCAAACTGATAATTTGGCTTGTTTCTTCTGAATTACTTAATTGTTGAAATGGAATGAATGCACTTGTATGTTTCTGGTGGGCCATTTGATATTCCTGGAATAGTCTACACACAATTGGGAGGAGATGTCACCTTATCAAGTAACTCTTTTCTCCAGCTTAAATTACAATATTGAAAGTTGAAAGCAAGCTCCAGCTAAGCACTTGTGTTTCTGTTACTGGTTCTAAAATGTTTCTTAGGCCTAAGGTACCAGGATGATTCTCCCTCCTGCCCCATCTCCTTCAGTCTCCCTCACTGAAAGTGTCCCAGAGATGTATGGTTACCCCCAAGACCCTATCTGAGGGTAGTATTACCTAGTAATGTGTTTTATATTTTTTTTGCATTTGCAGTTCATATATATGTAAGTGTGTGTGTGTCTGTGTGTGCATGTGATTTTTAATTTATTTCTTTATCTATTTAGGGTATGTTAGAGCCTACCAAGGAACCTTTGAAACCAATATCTGCAGCAGAAAAAATAGCTTCAATAGGGCAGACACCTCCGGTATCACCTGAGATGAACACATGTACATCTGATCAGTTCCAGGTAAAAAATAGAGAAAGAAGAGGGAGGAGAGGAAAAGAACAAATGAGGGAAACAATGGGATGCTTTGTTTCTTCCTTCATATTTAATGTATCTGGATGGTGTGTTCAGAGAAACCTGTATGTAAAAGGCAGGTGTTCCTTGTGTCAGATTGAAGTCCTGCTCTTGGATCTACTTTTCATGTGTGACTGGAAGGGAGTCCCTATGATAAGACTGTAGGAGTTGGCGGCCACCATTTAAGAGTCCTGATAATATCTGCTGTTACACAGCTGTTTGCTTTAAAAGGCAGGGGACAGTTATTTCCACAAATTTTAGATGTGACTTTACAGTTGACTTTCCTCCAGCTAACATTTTTAATCTTTGCTTTATCTGGAGCTTATTATAGGAGTGTGATATAAAATGAGTTCAGAGGAGTTTAGGAGTGAGCTTTTGAATTCAATGAGTTCTGTTTTGATGATGTTGTTTCAATACTATATTAGAAAACCACTTTAATGTCATGCATGTTGCAATGTGTGTGGCTGGCAATCAGCTAATGGGATATGCAGAGGCATTTAATTTTCAGTGTCACCACAGTGGTACCCAACACATTCAGAGAGTCAGCTGTGTCCCTCCTTAGTCCAGGTCTTTAATCTACCCAGCATCTTTACTTACCTGCTATTCTTGTGACTTCTGATTGAAGGTATACCAAAATGAATTATTCTTGTGCTACACCTAACCTTAATACTAGGCGCTTCTGAGTATAGCGATTTCTTTGTGCTCTTTACTCTGCCAGCAGTGCAGAGCTCTGTGACATGCTTGTACCAGAGGAGAAATTCTTTTTCATTGTGGAATAGCAGTATGTTAGTGGGCTCAGAAACGAGGTTTGTATAGTAATATACATGTTTGGTGATGCTTCTTATGCCACTTCTCACAAATAGTAGAACTGAGCAGCTGAACTAGGTATTAAAAAAAGGTAACAATTATGATTATTGCAAGCAGTCTGAGCTGAAGAAATCACTTGTGTTCTATATATGAACAAAGTAGGAAGATTTTACTGGCTTTCTGCAGTGTTCAAAGTTCCTTTTTTTACAGAGGGGAAAACATAGATTAAACCATAGACTAAACATAGTGTTGAGAGCTGCAAGAGCCTGAAGTAGCAGCATCTCTTACATGTGCCATTTTCTCAGTTGCTTGGCAGTCATAGTGCTGAGTGCTGAAAATGAGAACCTCTATTATGAAAGTCGTCCTTTTTTTCTCTAACTAGGAATTTGTATTTTTGGGTAGTCCTGCAGCAGAATTTCCCATTACTTTTGTTGCAGCTTGGTAATCCTGTCCCATAGCTTGTTCTGACAAGGCCATCTTGGTTCAATAGTTGTGGTCCATGAATACATATGAGAAGCATCTTTGCTGTCTGTTTACACTGTTGGCCTTAGGTTATTTCTTTCCAGAAAGGCAAATACTAAAATAAGCTTTTGGTAAAGAGATGAGTTAGATCTCTAACCATTAAGAATGCTAAGAGGCCACAGTTAAGTGACTTTTGAAAAGTTTCAGGGCATGAACGATCAATTCTCCTCTTCAGAGACCTTGTTTCTTTCTTGACTGTATCTTCTGTTAATGTTTGGTGGCTTCTGTTTGCTTTTGGGAAAATTCAGCTTCACCTTCCTTGTGCAGACTGCCTCTTAGGAACATTCCAGATTGTAGTAGTATTAAGATGATGTGACCAGAGTTTGGTAAACATTTCATTAAGAACTGTGCTATAAACACTGGTAAATATGCAATTGGTAAGTAGGCAATTTTAGCAGACCCTGAAACTTTTTATTCTAAACATAGGTAATTTGAGTGCAACAATTAGGTACCTTTAAGCTTACCCAGTTAATGTGTAATTATTTAGTTAAAACTTCTAAATTCTTCCATTTTCAGCTAGTGATTCTGATGGATCATTCTTATATTCAGAAACCTCAAGCTAATGGCTTTCTTTTTGAAGGGAGAGGCTCTGCTTAATAGATTCCCTATGCTTTGCTTAAGGAAAAGAGTTTTCCTTTGTTCAAAGCCTGGCATTTATGGGACTTGTATACAGGTCAGTGTCTGTGCATGTACATATATGACTCCTGCTGAGGGTGTAAAACTTTGGAAAAAAGACTGTGATGATGCAAAAATACGAGTGGAAAGAACATTTGTAGAAACAGAAATGCCTCTAAGTTTTTTTGGTTGTCGGTGAACATAGGAAAGCAGGCAGAGATTTAAAATAGCATTAGAAATGAGGAAAAAAGCAGCAAATGAGCTGCAGTGCTTTTTCCTCATTATTATATAAACTTTGTATGTTTTGGCCTCCTTCCCAGTAGAGGATCTTACTGGTTTGGTTAGTCTGTAGAAATACAGTGGACAAATTTCCATCTGAGCCATTTTAAGCTATAAGGACAAATTTTTAAAAAAATTATTATTTCTCCTCTTGAGCAAGTTAAGTTACTGGTCTATCCCATTAGTTTGTTGTATGAAGATGACTTTTGTAGACTCGTTCTGCTTTATATTTGAAGGTAGCATCTAAATTCTTCTTTGATCTGTTGTTTATCTTGACAATTCGTGGTTTATTTCTCTGTTCCTTTGTGCTCATAACTGTGAGGCAGTAAACAGAATATGAAATAATCCCCTAATTACTGTTCCCTTTAAGCATGGTGTCTCAAAGACTTTGCAGGTCTGAAGTAAAAGCTTCTATCAAGGCACATCAGCTGTAAGAAAGAGAGGCTGCTCTAACA